ATATATATACATTTGTATTTTTATTTATATATATATATATATATATATACAGAGTATAGCAAAAGTACCGGAACGGCAAGAAAACTCGGCGGGGGAGCATTTAAAAAAAAATGTTTCGAATAAAAGTTGTAAGGCTTAAAAAGTCGCATTTAATGACAATAGTTATTTGACCTAAGATGACGTCGCCAAGGTCAGGACAAGGTCAACTTTGCTTTTTTAAATAGAAATACATATTTTTTATTACGGCATTTTATTCTACGAAAAAGCAAACAACTTTTGCTTGAAAAAAATTTTTATACGACCTCTATTTTCTAAGGTATTTACGTAAATATCTTAGAAAATAGAGATCGTATAAAAAATTTTTTCAAGCAAAAGTTGTTTACTTTTTCACGTAGAATAAAATGCCGTAATAAAAAATATGTATTTCTATTTAAAAAAGCAAAGTTGACCTTGTCCTGACCTTGGCGACGTCATCTTAGGTCAAATAACTACTGTCATTAAATGCGACTTTTTAAGCCTTACAACTTTTATTGGAAACATTTTTCTCTAAAATGCTCCCCCGCCGAGTTATCTTGCCGTTCCGGTACTTTTGCTATACCCTGTATGTATATTCTGAGAGCCGTAGCCCTCAGCGAGCGCGTGTGCGGGCGAACAGTGTGTGTTACCTTTTTTTTAATATTTGCGCATATTCGTATACTTTTTACCATATTTCTATATACACTGTGTGCACAAATTACATTTAACTTTTAAAACTTTTTTCGTTAATAACTTTTTAATAAACAATGAGCACCGATAATGGTCAATAGCATTGATCTCTCTGAGGGTCAAGGTCAATATCAAGGTTAGTCGGAAATCATTTGGAGCTAACTGTGTAATTGTAAACCTTTACCATATTTTTTTTATAGATAAGAACGAACTTTAGAAACTTTAAAAAAAAAAAAAAGTGAAATTCTCTTTTGAGGAAAAATATAAAAAGAGAAAAGGATAGAAAGACATTTGCGCGTCTCTATCTAACAGACTAATTACGCGGTGTGGCAATTTTCCTAGTGCTGCAAGCACAGGACAATACATACATACATTCAAAATACAATCGGAATCATGGTAACGTCCATCGAAAAATGGATGCTCAATCTTTTTAACACACACGTCTATAGATTTTTAAATTGTCTATAAATAGCATCAACAGACATAAAAACATACGCGCATGTATATAACAGTTACATCAAACACTTATTTCGGACTGCGCAATCTTTTCAATGCCTGTTTCGCAGCCGCACATTTAGCCAACTTTTTATTAGCTCCAAAACCATGAAAAGTCTTTTCCTTACCAGCAATGGTTACTTTTAGAGGTATCATGACAACATTTCTGCCTTCGATCATTGATGCTTCACTGCAATTATATAAGTATTATATGTACGTACATGTGTATGCATATGTGAACGAGCAAGTGAACGAATCAACAAGCGCACGCACGTATGTTTATATAATATAATATACACACACACAAACGGGTAAAAAAGATTGATTTTATACTTACAGGAACTTGGCATGTGCATCTTGATGTTCGTATATCACTCGAACTGGATTCTTTGGTATATTTCTGCTAAATTCATCTATGAAACACAAAGCACATTATATGTGTATATTTCGATAAAGAAGTCACGCAATATAAGATACACACCCACTAAATCGTGAATAATGCTTTTAGGCAACGTTATTTTTACTCCACGCGTGCTTCATCAAATTACAAATCATTACTACATAAACTGTCGCATCGCCATTATTTGTGCGTAAATCTTACCTATTTCTTTGTGCATAAAAGAATAAACCATCTCCCAGACTTTTGTCAAGTTTCTGTTGCTATCGAGATAGATGGCTCCGATTAATGTTTCAAACAGATCCCCCAAGACCTTCGGGACGTCTATATATTCTGCTATGTTGCAATCTTCTTCTTCAAGAAGCACCCACAATAACTAGGAGCGAAAAGGAAATTTACATTATAAATCATCATTTGTGTAATCGCAGCATTGATTATAAAAATCATATTGCACAAACATACTTCATCATTAATTGCGTAATCCCGTTCTTCTTGAAACTTGACGAAGCGATTGATTATTTCATGCAGTTGCGGCGCGTAAGCCAGTAAGCAGGTGTGTAGACCATATCGCACAGCTAAGCAAGCAAATGTTACATTGTTGACAAGCGCAGACCTCAAGTCGGTGAGAGCGCCAGGACTCAAGTTGCCGCAAGATTCATAAATATGGCAAGTGATCAAAAAATCTGAAACCACCGAAGAAAATGCGAAACATGATCATTCGTTGCAATTCACCCAATTAAATACATTGATCCTATTAATATATTGTTTTTTATGCCTTTTATGATCAAATGTATCGTGCATTATCATATTATATTTTTGCTATACATATTACAAGCAATTTTGCATTTACCTAAAATAGCGTCTCCAAGAAATTCTAGTCTTTGATAACAGTCGGTTATTCTGTTTACTGTGTACGATGGATGAGTAAACGCCTGAAACATAATAGAACAGTGATTAAAATGTATACAACACACTGTGGATAGAATCGGTTTGGGGCTGAAAACGTTTTGAAGCATGTAAAAGAAAATAGTCATTAGTCTATACGGTGCTTTACTAAGCGTTTGCAACAATGGCACACATACTGTATGTAAAACTTCAGATAAACATATGGAGATTATATAAACGTATAATATGTAGGTTATACAAGTAGAGTCAGACATGCGATAGCATAAAACTAGATTGTTTCTTTTTTTATTACATTAAGATTACCTGCAACAAATATGCCCGGTTATTAAATTTATAACCAAGTCTTTTTTCTATATTATCGGCCCATGGCATATGTTCGTTCGGATTTCCATTGCCGATTATAGGATTTAATGAACTGGTACCACTTAATAACTCGTCAATTTCAATGTCAGGCAGTATGCCGAACCACTTGAGCAGTTTTGCTGCGCCGCTTATGCCGGTACTCTAATATTGAAAATTGATTTGTTAAATCAATTCACACAATTTTGCATGCACATATGTTTGCTTTTGTTTTGTATCAATTAGGCTTTAATAGGTTTGCTTTTGAAAATTAAACTAGGAGACTAGTGCATTTCCGTTGAAAGCGATATTCAGTGACATTTTACTAACGTTAGTAACGTCAACAACTTACTCTGAGATAAACACCAATCAACGCTTCTACCGAGTCCGATACGGCCTTGTCGGGTATAATTTGAACATTAAGATAATGTTCCAGGCCAGTTTGGTTTTCCGCCAAACTCCACTGCGATATTATATTCTGCATCGTATTAATTGTACTTGTGCTTATCTCTCCAGTTAATCTCTCTTCATCTGGTATCGGAAGTTCGTATAATATATTTGGTGATACGTCCTGATCCAATAGTATCTTTTGCAATTGTCGAAATACTGCATACGCAGGTACGATGAAAGTACTTGTAGGCGTAAACTCGTCGACCTTCATACGTCCAGGTATGCTCTTATTAACGCCACTGTAATATAGATTGCGATTGCCGATTATTCTGCCCTTTAGTGCTGTCAATTGACCTTCATTAAGTGTTGGGAAGGAGTGATACAAAAATAACGATGTAATGAGTTTTAGGTAGGAATCGCCCAAAGTCTCCAATCGTTCCAAATTGAACATGTCGTGGCACATCTTGGTAGTGAGAGCCTACAATTGAGTGTGCTGTTGACGAACTACATACACTTGAGAGTAAACTTTTATTTACCTGCATAATTTCCGCCGGACTAGGTCCACACGACTGTTTCTCTGCAAGAATGTGTAACGGTGGCACCACTACTGTTGGCTTTGAGATATAATTGATGCTTTTGTTCAAGTTGTTCTAAATATAAGGAGAAGAAACGTTACTATTCGAAATAATATATGTAATATATATAAACACTATATATATTTGTATATATAGTATAGTATATATAATGTGTGTATATGTACACATACGCACACACACACACGCGCGCGCGCGCGCAAACACACATCTCGTAATATAACGTATACGTTGTACACATACTTATACATGCGCGTGATACGTCCTACTTACCAGAACGGCATCGTCTGCATCATCGCTTGTATGCATAAAGTGGCAATAATACTGTATATCTATCATTTGAATGTGTTCTATATCGCGGTATATATCCTGGGGCTCTTGATCCTTTGACCAGGGATACGAATTTGCTTCGGTGTTCATGGAAACTGCGTTCATGTAAATAAAAATAATAGAAACATAAATAATTGTGTACGAGTAATTAAGAAAAAAAAAAACTGTTTATTAAAATCGCGTGTCGCGTACATTTTGTGGTATTTCTTTCTTTCTTCTATATATACGCGCGTCATCTAACATACCGTCTAATTCTAAGTCATTCGTGTCCGGCTCTACTTGCGTGCTTTCAATTGTGTCGTCCAATGCTGTGTCTAGTAATGGTTCCGCCAATTGCTCGATTTCCTTTTCTATTGTATCTAACGCGGGCCACTCACTGTCGGATGATAATATTAATATCCCTAAATTAGTCTCTCTTATAATTGTTGCTCTCAAGTCTTCCGCAATTAAAAGTTGCGTAATTCTATGAAGAATTGACGGTAGAGTGGACGCCTTTAACCAATACAGAGCCGGAAAGTATATCATCCGGCATAATTCTGGAATTAAATGTTCCTCAAAATCCTCTAATACATCCGCTCTTCTACGTTTGCTCAGCCCAGGTTTCATACTCCTGCAGATGACAATACAAGTTGAATATTAAAATTAAGACTAAACACATTGTATAACCACAATGTGGCAATATGACACATGCACAAACAAACACACCTTGGTTTTATACAATTAATTTTGGTTGAAATCGCTTTCACTTCCAACAATGGTTGTTCCAGATTCTGGATTTTTATTCCGTGCTTCTCCTCGTAATAATCCGTATACGTTTCAAAATCGTCAGTCGGGAAAAGCGATTTGGGTGTTAGGTCGTCGCACACTTGCGTCACTATATATACGCTCGGTGATGCTCTGTAACTTGGGTTGACTAATGCCACTTCGTAATCACTGTATCTGACGTGAGGAAATGGAGACGACGCAACTTTTTCTATCTGTTGATATTTTCTTACATCGTCCCAATTTATTTCCCAATTGACGTTCACTAAAGCGTCAGCGAAATAACCAAAATTTAAATTTGGATAGCGTCGACATATCAAGTAATATCGTATTAATCGCTAAACCATAAAAGCCAATTTACAGTGTTGAAAGTATAATAGATTCTCTCAGATTCACATTATGTATACTTACGCGGAACGATTAAGAAGGAATTATCGAGATTGTCTTTGTCGAACACCATAAACTTTTTTATCATCGGAATGACTTCGCTGAAAAGCAAGGTATGATATACTTTGAGCAATTTGATATCATTTTCATCGTTTAGTATCATCGTTGCATAATTGGGCTTTACGGTGACATTTAACTCGCCGACGTTCATGAAAATTGGAAAAGATGGAATCTAAAATGTAGAAAGAATTGTACGATTAACAGCCTGAATTAGTAACACGAGATTATCATTATCACAATTAAATGCATTTACCTTGGGCATACTCTTTATAGAGAGAATTCCAAAGCCACTCTTGTCGTTGAGTAAATTATAGAAGACTAAGTGCCTGTTATCATGCGGCACGGAATATGTAGGACTGGCATGAATAACGTGGAGATATAATTGTTTTCCATTGCATGGAAATGCCTCATACAATGCCGTTGGATGCTGTTTGAGCACATTTTATAAATTAAATTAGAAAAAAAAGAGAGAGAGGAGATTATCACTATTGTACACGTAACATTACTACTGCAAGTAAAACTTATATATAATCTTATTCATGTAAATTATAAAATTATTAACTTACTTCTAACTTATGTCGTCGTCTCTTTTTATATGTACCACATGAAGAATCATCTTCGTTTATCCAATTCGGGAACAAGTAATCTTTCCCTCGCAAAACTGCAGTCGGCATAACAGGCTCTATATTATCCGTTAATGCACCTAGTTGATGCAATTTTATGCAACATTTCATTGCAACGGATCGTTTGGCAGCACTTATATTTGCCATAAGATCACCGTACATTACCTTTTTCAATGGCGATATACTCGGTAGCTGGATAGAAACCTGTCGATGCGATAAAAAAACAAGCGTCATGCTAAATAATATGTTGCTAGGAAATTAAACAGCGCAATATGTGTACAGTACAGAAGCGCGATACCTGATACAATTTGCTGCTATTCTCATACAAGGTCCAGACTGGAACCAAGGTCACAAACTTACAACGTAATAGGCTATTGCAATATCTATTTAGTATATTGACTACAGTGTTTTCTGTTAAAACATTTCCCGTATCGTTCACTGGATATGGTACGATTTCATATTGATATAGACCGTTTTCAATCTCTTTATCAGTAGGCAAGCTGCGAGCCTCATCTCCTATTAAAATCTGTCAATAATAAATTATTATTCGTTTATTATTGTCTTAAACAATTTCCAACATCTATCTATTAATCTGCACATTACTTTCGTTTAAAAGTCAATTATGCGATACTGGCCGCGCGCGATATGTTTGATCACTAGACATTACACAGAGTGCCCTTCTGTGATATACTTCTGTATTCTGTGAATACAAACTATCCTAAAGTTGAACTTTTATCCTCCATGTAGCATACACAGTGGCATATATTATGTGGCATATACAGTGTTTACTTTTCCTATCACGGTTACTTACCGTTTTCATTTTTAATTCTGTAGTCTTATAATCCTTGTATCTCGTAAGGAAAGTATCGTCATCACGTGGCACTAGAACCGTGTAATGACTCGTGCCATGTCGTGCACGACCTTTACTTTGAACGTACGCTCTGTAATCTGGCGGGAGGTCATATCGTACTACTAATGCACAAAGTGGCACGTCGATTCCTTCATCAACAACATCGGTAGCTACGATGCAGTTGGATAAGCCCTTTCTAAATCTGTGAGAAACATATTCCTTTCATTATTAATGATATCAAAAATTAATGATGAGAAAAGTATGTCCGTTTCTTGTTAACCGTACTAAAGGTCAAAAGGATCGTATGGAGAAGGAGCAAACATATTTTTATATCAATATATTATCCTATGATATATATTTTATATATACATCATACTCTCGAAATAGACTGTAATTTGCATTAATCGCGTTCGTTTAATTTTCCAATTACAATATAATTTACATTTACACACTACATATAAGCATAACTAAGATGCAGCTCATGCAAAAATGACAGCCAGGTCATTAGAGAGAGATAATATATCGATACATATTTCTGTTAAAAATATTAAATGTCAAAAAGAAACTAAATTTACCTTTGCATTACTTCCTTTTGCCATTTAGCGAGACACAGAACTTCTCTAGTATTTTTGTAAGGACTATTATGGCATCCAATTATGAAGTCGGGCAAGAGAAAGTTGTATTGATCATCATGTGTAGATAAGGTCTGCAACACATAATCCATCTTAAATATAAGGAATTTTACACACACACACGCACACACGTATATATATTTGTGCATTCATAATATTCTTTAGTATAATTATAGATACAGACCGCATTGTTATTACTGAAATTTATAATTGAAATGCGCGATTACTAGTTGAAATAAAAACAGAACTTACCTTTAATATATGATACAGTACTTGCGTCATAAATCTTTCTTTGACAAAAATAATACAGCAAAATGTTTGATCGCTCAATTTATTATTGTTGAAATCCTTTAGTAAGGTAAATAGTTTGAGAACTTGGTCAGATGAAAACCTAAATTTATATTGCCATTTAATATTATTGTAACATTAAGTTGTCAAGGGTTTGTTTTTCATAACTCTTCTTAAAGTTCATATGTTATACTAACTTGTAAATTCGTTCTAATTCTGTATAACCTTTCATTGCCTCTTCAAACAGTTTTCTTATTCTGATAGTTTGCGTAATTAGATATTCCAGAATAATATTTGTTTGCTGTGTGAAGTGCGATAGAAAAAAATTATTAAAAATAAGAACAGGAATAATGTGGAATATTTTACGCCATTTAAATTTTAATTATACTTCCAATTGCATTCAACTTACTGTATTATCACAATATTTTTTCAGATACTCCAGCTGGATTAAATGTAACAAAACTGATTTGTTACCACCGTAAATACCTAAAACAGAAGTCACACATCTTGTATACTGACTGTTTGTATATTGAATGTCTCAGTTGTTTAGCAATGTGTGAAATCTAAATAAAAATCTAAAATGTACCATAACACGAAATTTCAAAGAGAAAGCACAACGGAGCAAAAATGCCAGTATGTTGATACATAAGTTTGTAAGGATGTAACTGCTGAAAAATATCAAACAGCTAAATCTTCTAAATTCCGACTTTTAAGCTCTTTCTATTTTAACGTACTGCGTAGAACTGCGTAAAACGTACGAATACACATGCGAATTAATTACCTGTTTGCATCATAGTCGTCAGTATGTCCTTCATAATGCTTATCAATTTGGAAGATTTTCTTCTAGGTTGAAAGTGCGGGCTGGATTCTATAAATAACTTATCGGTATCAAAGATTATGCTCTTTAATACATTTATAGAATCCTCTATTATCTGATTCACATCTACAGCCATTGCGTTGGCCACTATATACGTATTATACTTTATAATATTCTCCTTTGGATTTGTGCAGTACTCTTGGACACAATCTATTGATTTTACAGTTGCTACTTTTGCCTGGAATGTCACTTCCAAATCCTACAATATAAACAATTGTAATCTAATTTCAATTACAACTGAAAATTATTAATAGCTTACCTTGATAGTAGCTTCAATTCTGTCCGATTTTATATTGGAATTCAATAGTGTTGCTGACATAGCCAAGATACGTGGCTGCTGGTGTTTAGGGTAGTTTTCAAATTGTTGCATAATTTGCCGCATAGGATGGTTATTCACAGCTCTATGACACTCATCAAACATAATCAAATTTACTTTATCTAACTTTATGTACCCATGAGTAATAGTATCAACAAATATTTGTGCTGTCATTACTAAAACCTAAAACATATTGTTACATTATTGATTGCTCTTCTCCTTACACAATAAAGTCAGGACTGTATGAATTTAGCAGTACTTGATTTGCATCCAACTCGAGCTTCCATTGATCTTCTTTCCAAAAATCTACCTTCATATCACCACTGTAGCCTTTACAAGTCAGACATGTATGTCTCTTTATGTAATCCGTTTGTTGTCTGACCAACGCTACTGTGTTTACAATAAATATACTACGTTTGCCATTCTTGTTGTAAGGCCTGAATACAAGAAAGACACAAATTAGATATGTAAAATCAACACAGATACGTATTATCGACGGTTAGAAGTATGAACTGACACACATTGAATGAAAACAAGATTCGAAATTTCGAGGTATCATATACACATACATTTGTACTTCACCGCTCAATTTTCTCAGTAGCATAACAGCAATGTATGTCTTGCCCGCACCAGTTGGTAAATAAACGATTATATTATTTTCCACAGCCTTTTCATAAAGATCTATCTGATACGCTCGTGGCGTAAACTCTGACGTCATTTCCATCGTCTCGTGTAATTGGATTGCTGTAAACAGCAGGCTATCGCGAACAATTTGCAGAGATCAGTCATTATTATACAACAACCAGAAAAAGTTGCATCATCCATCAACAGAAGGCACAGTTTGTATAGTATAAACAAGCAATAAAGGTACATTTGAAATATTCACTTAAGATTACTTACTTCGTCAAGGATTCGTTGAGCAAATAACAAATCGAACGATCGCTACGAAACAAGCTTCGTACCACTATCGACTGTCAGAAACTGATTGAAGCAGGCAACATCTCTCTATCCGGTAAAGTCAAACAGTATGGGACAGTCCCGCAGTTCTCGAACAATCTCGAACAGTCTCGAAGAAACAGTCGAGTGATGTGCCATTGACAGCGCGAGATAATGACCTACCTAGCCCCATCTAGCGGCACAGCAAGAAAATCATCATTATACATGAGACTAGTATTCATAGGCCGATATTCATAGGGTGCGTTCCGTTTCCACGCATAAAGGGACGTCTACATTGGAAGTAAATAGCAAGAAGTAGGAAGTAAGAGTAAGAAATTGACCAATCACAGTCGAATGTGAGAAGAATAATCAACTATGATTGGTCAATTTCTTATTCTTGCTTCCTACTTCTTACTGCTTACTTCCAATGTAGACGTCCCTTAATGCGCATGAAGCGCAGCGTTAAGCCCATTCTACAATTGCGTGAACGTGGTTGTAAGTGGTTGTAAGTGATTACGACACCAATCAGAGTAAAGCAATCAGTGAATAAAACATTCGAATTGGTTGACTCTTACCTACGGTAAGAGTCTTAGGATAACCTTTTCCCCCCGGAGCCATTACAGAACAAAACAGAACATCTATTGTAGATATGGCGTATGGGGATAACCTTTTCCCCCGAAGCCATTACAGAACAGAACAGAACATCTATTGTAGATCGGGTCTAAAATTTACGTATACGCAACTAGTTAGAGAATCGAGCCCCAGACCTATAGAGAAACGGTGTCTATTTTTAATCAGGAGAATCGAAGGACGTCAAAGTGAGATCTGTTGCTGAGGAAAATTATATATGTCCATTGACCGTAAGATATTAATTAGTTACAAAATTTAGCAATGTAATATGTATCTTTGCAAATTTACAAGATACTATACGTCGATAACAAATATAACAAGCAATATATCTGCTTGTAGGTATCGAAGATTGCACGAAAAATAACGCGTATATTTGAGATAGAAGAGATGGCTACTCTGTTAGTATCGTCGCCGAGCGCATCAAAGAGGTTTGTCACTTACGTTGTCCAAAAAAAAACAATACGTGTGAATAAGATTGAATTTCTATATGTAGAACCATGCAGATCAGGAATATGCGGCAAGGCAGTGTGATAGATTTGGACGCCGATATGTTTCTCAAGATATCCAATTACGAGGACACTGTTAAACAATTGGATATATACTACGGAATAGTTAAGAGACAATTGTTGCGCTATCAGAGTTGCATAACTGGGCTGTTTCCACAGATAACGACCGACAGGAAAGTTGCTAGCGTGCGCGAAAGTATATATTGTGCCGCCGCGATATGGAGCCTGTATCAAGCTTACAGGCGCATTGACGACGATCGTGGGAAGTCGTATGAACTTGGACAGTCTGCAATCAAGTGTATGCGTGGTATTCTGGAGTGCTGGGTGAAGCAATCTTCCAGAGTGGAACTCTTCAAGAAAAATCAGTGCGATCGTTTTGCATTACATTGCAAGTTTCACTTGGACACAGGCGAAGAAATTTATAATGATGCTGACTATCATCACTTGCAAGTGAGTATTTGATAATAATCTGTATGACATGTTCTTGCATGTGGAACAGTAGAATTAGGAGAAATTGCCAATTTTTCTCTTTCTCTCTTTCAATTGTGTAACAAAAATTTTTCCTTTGTTGCTGAATGTAGATCGACATTGTGTCTCTTTACTTGATATTCCTGGTGCAAATGATCTCTTCAGGGCTGCAAATCGTCTACACGCAAGATGAAGTAGCTTTTGTGCAAAACTTAGTGTACTATGTCGAGAGAGCATATCGCACACCAGATTATGGCATGTGGGAACGTGGAAGCCGATATAACGATGGCACGCCAGAGATCCACGCCAGCTCAATCGGGATTGCTAAGAGCGCTTTGGAGGCGATTAACGGTTGCAATTTGTTCGGAGAGAAAGGTGCTTCCTGGTCGGTTATATACGTTGATATCGATGCTCACAATCGTAACCGCAGTATCTTTGAGACGATGCTTCCGAGAGAATCTAGTTCTAAGGTAAGCGATCAGCCATTTGTATCAATTGTAAAACTTTTGTCATTAATTCCTAAAGAAATTTCCTTTCTCTCTATCCCCTATTCTCTTCTTCTTTACACATACACACACTTAAAAGTTGTGTAATTTCTAGAGCGTAGATGCGGCTTTACTGCCAACGATATCCTTCCCCGCCTTTGCAACTCACGAAGAGGTGTTGTACAACGAGACCAAGGCGAACATAATTCGCAGGCTTAAAGGCAATTATGGCTTTAAACGATTCGGAAGAGACGGTTACAAAACAGTGTTGGAAGATAAGCACCGACGGTACTATAAGTCTGGAGAAATCAAGGTCTTGAAGCTTGCATTAATCTGTATTATTGCATGTTATCGTGGTACTATCTTATATACAGGACATTTCCGAATTTTTTTTCAGTTCTAATTGAACGACTTTTCATAGGATTTCGATAGTGTTGAGAATGAATGGCCATTGTTTTACATCTTCATGATAATAGACGGCGTTTTCAAAAGTCTGCCGGAACAAGTAGACGAATATCAAAATTTATTAAAGGCGAGAATACACAAAGATCAGAATGGAGGTACTATTAAGTGATTGTGTAATTTTCACTTGTTATCAGATCATCACAAATCACATTGTTTCACAATGAAATTATTCCCTGCAACAGACCCAGTGATTCCTATGTATTATTACGTACCAGAGGAAAATCTGGACACTGAAAGGAACGAACCGTGCAGCGCTTATCGATTGCCTAGCGACGAAGGCAGAGGCTATAGAGGAATTGCGGATCACGAAGCTGCGTCAATGTACCTGTGGAATCAAGCCATGTTTGTAATCGCGCAACTACTTACCGCTGGTCTTTTGCATATCAACGAATTGGATCCGATCCGTCGATATCTGCCGTCGTATAACCGTCCAAGACGAGCAGGAAGATACTCTGCTTTTCAAGTGAGAGGAAAAGCAAATCATATTGCGCAATATAATTTATTTCTTTTTATCTCTATATATTTCGAACAGATGTATATTTATTCATCAATTGCATATTGTTATATTATTATGTAACGCATTTTACAGTGATCTTAACTTGACTTTAAAAATTAATTTTCACAAGTCACGATCGAAAGTTAATATAATATGTTAGTTAATATAGTTAATATAATATGAAAATTTATATTCTATGTTATGTTTCACACAGGCAAAACCGAGCATTGTAAGTAATTTGAAGCATGTATGTCTGCTGTAGTATAGTGTATTTCCATTTGATATATTTCTTTTATGAGTGATGTTGTTTTCTGAAGAGTAACGACGCATATTTATTCATGGTGCTTCGAAAAAATTACACTTTCCTTTTTTTATTTTTATAAAGAAAGCATGCAAAATTGTCAAACAAAAAAATGCAAAGAAAAATGACCGAGATCCTCAAGCTTAAAAATTTCCGCAAAGTTGCATAGCTTTCCCATGATACAATACCAAATATCCTCCATACTGCACAGTTGATCAGAGCTATTATACTTTTCTATCTAGGGTACTCACACCGACCTAGTGGTACAAATAGTTTTGATCGCAGAATCTATGCGATTGCAAGCTATGATGGCCACGTACGGCATTCAAACGCAGACGCCGCACGAAGTCGAGCCTGTTCAAATTCTGTCGTCCACTCAATTGGTGAAGGTTTACCAAAAGCTAGGTGTAAATAACAAATTGAATCTTCAAGGACGACCTGCGCGACCTATAGGCTCTCTAGGTACAAGCAAGGTAAGTATTATGAGATATATTGTCCTCTTTTTCTCTTGGCATGTGATTAAAAAGACAACGCTTGCCTTCCCAAGCCACATTGATGGATGCACACTGTTGCGTGCACAGGTATACAGAGTTTGCGGCATGACGGTGCTCTGTTACCCTCTCATCTTCGAAGTCTCCGAGTTTTATTTATACAGAGACATGGCTTTGCTGATTGATGACATAAAAACGGAGCTACAATTCGTAGGCAAGTATTGGCGTCTTTCCGGTCGACCTACCGTGTGCCTTTTGATACGGGAGGAACACATGCGGTTAGTATTATATTTAAGAAGCTACTGCGAATGTGTGACATGATGCATATTGGTACATCTAACTCTAACCTTTGCAACAGTGATCCGCAATTCAAAAAGATGTTGGACCTCTTCGCAATGCTGAAGAAAGGCTACTGCGATAAGACAAAAGTGCGCATCGGTAGACTGCAAAATCTAATTTCATCCTCTTGCATCGGTAACGTATACTTACAATATCAATATATACGATAAAACAGTAATCAAGTAATGTACCTTCATTATGCAGAACATTTGGATTTCGTGAATACCATGGAAACGGATTTAGATCTAGCACAGTTTAAACAATTGCAGCACGATTATATAGGCTACCAAAGCCTCACGGATGTTCCAAAAGCCTTCGCCTATACTGAGGATGTCAAGAATTATTCTGTATGAAATTGCATGAAAATTATGCTTCTAATCGAGAGAATGGAAATATTCGTTTTTGACATTTTCTATAATTATTTTTCAGTACATGGCGAACGAACCTCTGAACGATGTATTGAGCGAGATCCGCAACAGCGTCGGCTTGTACGCAAAGTGCCAATTATACGGCATTTTGGTAAAGCGAGAAGGCATTAATTACGAGATCAACGGGACGACAGGTGCCTCATATCTTCTCTTTTTCTCTCTTTTTCTCTCTTACGAGCTTTATTTCTTTGATTCAAGTCGTGATGCCGCGTTTTTATCATTCTAGTTCGCGACTATTTGAGAACGTTATACCAACAAGCTGGTTCCTTGAGATTCTGGATGGCTGTGCGTTATTGCAGCAGTTTATTAAATCACACGGTCGATAGCATCAGTCCGTTCATCACGGGTGTGCTAGTTAAAGGAAAGCAGGTACTAACAGCAGAGTGTCCTCGATAACGGTGAGAGAGAAAGAGAAAAATTAATCTGTATGATGTTAGATCGCGGTAGGAGTTGTTGGACAAGAAGAAACGGTGTTCGATAAGCCAATGACGCCGGCGGAAATACAATCGGTCGTGTATTCGACGATACAGCCGCACAACACGGTACAAGCAGTGCTCCAGCAAGAAATTCTACTATATTGCGGACGATTGATCGGCACCAATCCCGAAATGTTCAAAGGGATACTGAAAATACGTATTGGGTGAGCATATCATTTCTCTAAAGCACATTCTATAATAAACCATTAGTCGTAACACATAAGACATAAGAAAATCCATTAATTGCAGTCCTTCAGAATAGAAATGAAGAATTCTGATTGGTGGATTCTCTTACGTGTTACGACCATCGACATTTGAATGGACTGCTAAATGAGATGGTGGAGGTAGGAACAGATGTAGAGTGACAGGCAGACAATAGTAGGACACCTTCCGTCTCTTTTCCAAGTAGGAGTGTAGCGCATCGTAACAGAACCTTAATCATATTGATAATTTATAATAAATGTTTCAAAGAGTTACTCGTGATTTTAATCTAGTGTAACATTTTTAATATTTAAAAAATATTACTGTTTTATACATAATAAAATTTCATTAGTATTGAAATGAAAATAAGTATAAGTATGTAAATAGGTAGATAGAAAAAAAATATAACTCGATATTATATATGCAGTAGTATTTATTAATTGGTTAACTAACAAAAATCTACCATTTTAACTTTTGTATTATATGATATATTTTGATGTATTATATTTTCGAGCAACGTAATAGAGATGTAGCGTGAAGTAATACTCTCGCGTCTAGCTTGGAGCCTGATACTTTCGCAGGATACAGTATTGCTGAAATTCCTGCAGCCAATCAGACTTCAGTAAATAGACGGAAGGTGTCCTACTATTGTCTGCCTCTCACTCTACATCTGTTCCTATCTTCAGCATCTCGTTTAGCAGTCCATTCTATATGTCGATAATTACGACTAACGGCTTATTGTAGAAAGCAAACTCTATAATGAGAACTTGAGTCATAAAACTTAAGCTTTAAGCCTGAAGAAATTGATTAACAACAAGAGGATCGCACGTACCTGATGTCACGGATTTTGATGAATTTTTTTTTGGGTTATTCTACTAATGTACATTCTGTGCAAAAGGATTTTTGTCAATACCTCTTCGTTTCGGAGAAAAAAAAATTTACAAGCGCCTTAAGGTCTACATTAGTCGGAAGCAGACGCAATTCTTATTGCGACAGCCAATCAGAAGCATCAATTGTGCTATTGACGCTTCTTATTGGCTGTCGCAACAAAAAAAGTTGCAATCGACTTGCTACTAATGTAGAACAATCTTTATAGGCCAAGCGTGTGACGAAAATTTCAAATACTTTAGTGGTCGCGGTGGTTTAGACGCGGTGTGTCATCTTTTTGGCTTGATTCAATCCCCGAGCCATCCAATTTTTTTTTTTATTTTATTGTTGTTTTTTCATTCAAATTGTAAGACAAGGACACAATAAACACAAAAGTACACGAAAAATGAATATATTAAACATGATTATAAATGACAAAACATTAAGAAATATGTTGTATGAAATTATGTTAAAATTAAAATTATGTTAATCTTATGTTTTACTTATATTTGACGCTGTTTTTTCCATCCTATGAAATTTCATATAGTGTTTGTTTTACTTTATAAATTTCTAACGTAAATTCCAAAGGAAAAGAACGGAATAATCCATGGTAGTTAGCGGATTCATAATTGTTTGCGATTACTCACTTTTGTCACAAAACTGCGTTTATTCGCTACGAGTGTAAGAAACGAAGCGGTGAGATTGCTTCAAATTTAACGATAATCTTCAGTAAACAACTTTTGAGAAGTCACGCGTTATCATTGTCAGACGCGCGTGAGCTTAGTCTGAACGTCTCACCTTGAAAACTGGTTAAAAAAAGGATAATATACAGTTTGGCGCAAGAAAATTACCTCATGCGAGTTTACAATTCTCCATATTCTGTAAATCTAATACGTGTCTGATTTCTCGCATCCCGCGTTTAAACTCTCTCATTTAAATAATGTAACAACCGGTACTCATCCTATAATAAATCTACGATTGACCATTTCTAGATGTAATTTAAATATATTACTAAACGATTCGTTAACATTCAAATTATTAGAGAGATTTCTTACATAAGTGCGTAAGCCAACTAGAATATTTCACGTATCCGTTCCGATATTCAGGTTCCCCCAAATAAAGACAATCATTGCAGGATTTCAAACTATCTTGGATCATTCTGTTCCTTTTCTTTGGAATTTACGTTAAAAATTTATAAAGTAAAACAAACACTATATGAAGTATCAGAGAATGGAAAAAACAACGTCAAATGTAAGTGAAATATAAAATTAAAATAATTTTAATATTAACCTAATTTCATACAACATATTTCTTAATGTTTTGTCATTTATAATCATGTTTAATATATTCCTTTTTCGCGTACTTTTGTGTTCATGGTGTCCTACAATTTGAATAAAAAAAAAAACAATAAAACGAAAAAAAATTGGATGGCCGGGGGTTTGAATCCGAGCCAAAAAGATTACACCTCGCGCCTTAACCACTGCGGCCACTGAAACACTCGAGATATTCATCACACGCTTGGCTTATAAGGTGCTCGTAAATTATTTTTTTTTCTTCGAAACGAAGAGATATTGATAAAAATCCTTTTGCACAGAATATACATTAGTATTGTAGAATAACCCAAAAAAATTTCATCAAAATCCGTGACATTAGATACGTGCGGTCCCCTTGTAAGTCGATTATTTTCCTTCTATTTGATTGTGATTGGTCAAAAGTTTTATGGCTCAAGTTCTCATTGTAGACCCTACTTTAAACATTCTCATACTCAATCGTCATTACGCCCAGATTTTGCGCGCTGTTACGTTGTTGTTGGGTTGGGTTTGGTTAGTTGGGTGTTGGAGGCGATGAAGCTCTATCTGCAAATGTTCATGAAGAATGCCAAGCCGATCGAGAACTACAGTCCTTACGAGGTGCGGCAATTCCTCATCAAAGTATTGACCGTCAAGGAATGGGCCCACGCAGAGAAGTACGTCGGAAAACAAAATAGAAGTCGCACTGTAGCGCGTACTTGAAAGTGGCCAATTCAAACACTTATTAATCGATACTTGTCGTTTTGCCCGAACAGTCTGACGGTGCTCGGTCGTCGACAAATCGAAGGTTGCTTGTGTAGAGTACCGGCACACTTCTACAATCAAGTATGGGAAGTTCTGATGCGTTGTCCCGGCGGTATCATTGTGAACGGACGGGAGCTGCCTCAGCAGCCGACTGTGTCCAACATGACTCGTTCCGAGCTTACGTTCGCCCTACTCGTGGAGTCCTTGCTACATCACATACAATTGCCGGAATATCGTCAAATCGTCATCGAAGTAAGGGGCTCTAGCGAGCACTCCAACTATTAAATACGTTTTAGTTACACTTCCTAGAGATTTGTCGCGATGAAAATGTTCTGATACATCAACGAACGTGCGGTCTTCTCCGACGCATAGCAAAGAGTACAATTTTTCATTACAATCAATTTCAATAATTTTTAAACATATCTTATCACTTTAGAGATTGTTGAGATATTCTAACAAAGGTCAAACTTAAATGGTTTGATATTTGTTAGAGAAAAGTGTAACAAAAACGAATGAATCTGTTGTCGCACTGAAGAGACGCAATGCGTGTGTATAATTTGCTCATCCAAAGTATGTAATTGTAGCTTCTGAGTATTGTGTCAACTATCCTGCTTCGAAACCCAGAATTAAGTTTCCAGAAACAACTGGACCTCAGTCAGCTCGTGGAAGATAGCTTTATCATGTACCGCAAGGTAACAATTGTGTCTAGATATATATAACACATATGTATGTGTGCCCTCTCCAAAAATTCACCAATTCTTGCAGGATCATAATCTATTGAATCTTGAAGACAAATCGTCGTTCTTCTCAGCGCATTATTCTGTGACCACTGGATATCTCGCGAGGGCCGTAGTCAACAACGTTCTTACTGGTGGTTGCGTAACAACTATCCTAGATACCAATGATGCCATAGACTCTCGAGAAATGTGCAAGATTACGTAATAGTACAAATATTTAACTAAACCTAAGAGATTATTATGCAACGCGTTAACAATCATCGTATAGAAATGCGCGATATGCTACACGTACATGTATGTGTATGTATTGTCACGTTTACACAAAATGCGACGGTATAATGTGTTTACATAAGTTCCTCTGAATAATAACGAGTATATTTTTTGACACATTTTGATATTCACTCGTGCGGCAGTGTTGTAACAGATACATGTTTTAAAGTAGCTAGATATAGATACAGATACAGTAAGAAAAGTGTAGCTAGATGAAGATACAGAGATACGAATTTCATATGAATAACTAGATGTAAATACTTTGAGAATATATCTAAATTTCTTCAAATACTTTTCAGATATTTCAATTACGGAGCGCTCAGTGTGCTCTTATATTTCATTGGTACATATTTTTAGATCTAAAAGAATATGCCAATGGGATACAAGAGCTCACTGAGCGGTGTAGTACTGAATGCATCCAATGGGCGCGTTCAGTGGAAAAAGCGCTCAATAAGCAATCAGCGATTACTGGTTCTTATTGGGTGCTTTCCAGTTACGTTTTGTGTATTATACAAAACCAGTTTATTGGTTGTATATTATCTTACAAGATATTTTAGATAATATGCGACCAATAAACTGGTTTTGTGTACATATGTGTCAAGAT